TAGATGATTTGGAAAGAGTTGGAGGATATACCCAGTCAATATCATGGTGTTTGGAGTGATTGCTAGTGATGGTGATGTTATGCTTCTATTCCTTTTCCCCACAGGGCCTCAGATTCAATATGGAGGCCTACATCAAGTGCCTTGAGGAGGTACCCTGGGTTAAAGTGGGTGGCTACTGGAAGACCCGATGTCTGCCAATAGGATTCTGCACCATGCCACACAAGCAGGAGAATCCAGTCATGGCTGTCAGACAATTTCTGCGACCTTAAATCTGGTCACGTAACTCCTCAGATTTCAACCCCCTAGATTATTATATGTGGGGCACAGTCGGGTGAGAGACCAAGAAAACTTTTTGTAACAGCAAAGATGAACTGAAGGCAAGGATTTTGGCAGCATTCACCAACTGAAACAAGGAGACGATTCAGAAAAGAGTTGCAGGAGATTCTGAAGTTGTCTGGAGGCCATGGTTGAAGCTAATGGTGAGTTTTATTGAGTAAATTTACTCTTTAGTATTTAAAGATATTTTCGTATAATTGTGGGAAATATATCCGTTAAAATGAGATGTCAGTGTTATTTTAATTTTTGCGTAATTTAGATGACGATTTATCCATGGCACTGTGTATTTAGGGAATGGGAAGCTTTTTAATTAATGCCATCACCCAAAAAAAAAAAAAAAAAAAAAAAAAAAAAAAACATATTTAATCATTTTTAAAGTATTGTAATGGACAGAACTGACTGAAGGTAGAGAGACAGAGGAAAGCAACGCGCAACCTACCTGGTGAGCTTGAGCGAGTGCATGACAGAGCAGGGTACAGGAAAGATGGTGAAAAGACAAAAGTTATGAAGAGGTACAAGGGACAGGAAAGTGTGGAGAACCATGGTTACCAATGTTCTAAAGTGATGTGGCACATGGGAAAAGAATGCTTTTTTAAAAGGGGAATGCTTGTGTCATGTGTGCAACCAAAAAAAATAAGATAAAGAGAAGGAAAAGAGAACGGCAAAAGACCAACTAATTTTTATCGTAAGCAAAGAAAAGGTTTTAATATAATTTTAGTGATTATGGTCAGTGGCAAAAAAGAAAAAAATATAAAGGCTTACCGGCAAGAAGTTAGAAATACTTCAAAATAATTTCAGTTGGGAGTTGCTGCATTTTTGTGGTATAGTTGACATGTCAGGTCAGCAGATTATGGTAAATGGACTGTTCTTAAGAAGATTTCAGCACCAACTGACTTTATTGGTCAACCTGCTTAAATTTGGCACCAACCAGTAAATAAGAATACCAGGATGAAAGACCTCCACTTGTAAGTTCATCTGACCACATCAAATGACCCAGAACTCTGAGAAGTTTCATACATAAAAATAAATTCTCTTAACACTTGTCATTCATTGACTGAATAGTTAGTCTGACTGTCAGTTGAATTTATAAAATCTTTCTCTTAAAACAGTTTTTTGGCAAACAGGTTTCTCAGGTCAACTAAATTTTATTGGAGGGTTTTCCTTTCTGTTTAAAATAGTGTGGAAAGTGAAGAGTTTGATTTTGTCATTATTTTCCTGGCTAGTTACATGTGCTATACATTGTAGTTGTTGTGGCTGTTGGAAGTCTTCAAGTGATGTCTTTTGTTATTTTGTAAAGTTCTTTGTTGATTCTGTAGTGCCAATTTATAACATTTGATGAAATATCATCTTTAGGATCTCCAGGATTCATTCACTTGAAACCATTTTTAATAATTGATCTGAGGTAATGTTTGTGTACTGCTGATAGTTTAGAGATTTCTGTGCGAGTTTGATGCTATGCACGACTTTTTTTTTTTCAGTCAGTCTAGTATATCACTTTCATTGAGTTACAGGTCAGGGACTTCATGAGTTTTTTGAACTTGTGCTCAAAGAAGGGGCATTTTGTTTTTGAAATATCATGTCCCTTCAGAACATAGCAATCATGGCTCTCCACAGATTCCTTTTCTTTATCTGTGAATTGCCATACCTTCTTGAGAAAGTAGAGTGGTTTTCCATTGCCTTCTCCACACTTTACAATTCATAGTCTTTTTCACTTCAGGACGTAGGCAGTCATGGCTCTCCACAGATTCCTTTTGTTTATTATCTTTGAATTGCCATGCCTTCTTGAGAAAGATAGTAGAGTGGTTTTCCATTGCCTTCTCCACACTTTTCAATTCATAGTCTTTCTCTCTTCAGGGCATAGGCAGTCATGGCTCTCCACAGATTCCTTTTCTTTATTTGTGAATTGCCATGCCTTCTTGAGAAAGAAAGACTATGCCTTTTCTTCACTTTTCAATTCAATGTAAAACCACTCTATTATCTCTCTTCAGAACATAGACAGTTATGGCTGCCCATGGGTTTGTTTTCCTTATCTGTGAATTTCCATGACTTTCTTGACAAAGGTAGTGGAATGGGTTTCCATTGGCATCTACAGTTTTTAGAATTTTTCTTGTATTCAACTGATGACCCCACTCAAGACTTGGGAGACCAGTTTAACCATGTGATATTTAACCCATATCTGTTGGGGGAATAGAGTAGAGTTCTCTCTTGTCATTTGTGCAAAATGAATGTAATAAACTAACCTGGATTTTGAACTCATTGAGTTCACTTTTTGCATTGATAACTTTTATACTACTCACACATTCAATGAAGAGCTTAATACTGTGAAATGTTTGAAATTTTAAAATAAAAGTAAAATTAGTAATGTAATTTTTAGGTTGTGTAGGAATTAATGATAGTATGACCCCGAACCCCTCAACTCTAACTTACAAAATGAAAAATTATCATATTTAATAACTTTTTAAAATTTTCTGCACTTTGAAATTGTTAACTATTAGTTAATAGTGTCTCTTCCTTTCACTTATCTTTCTAGAGGAAGTTAAAAAAAAATGCTGAGCTGAAACTACAAATATAAACATATTCATCTATTTTTAAATTATGCTATGTTCATTCAGGATGTTGGCAATTATGACACCCTACAGAATAATGGAGTAATGTATGGTGGCTCGGATTGAGGAATTGGAGAGCCAAGTTTGAATTCCATTACATTTACTTACTTGGTAATAATACCCTTGGGAAAGGTATGAATCCTCTTCTTTTCCCAGCTATGAGTAAATAGCAGGACAGACCAGGTTCTATAGCCTTGGATGGCAACTGGTCTACTGCAAAAAGAAATGGCAACCTACTGTGAGAAAATAATCTGCCTTGTCAGTCATGTATCAAAAGATACATGATTGCTTAAGCGTGTATCATGGCATGGCACATAACTGACAGATTTATTATGAATTGCAGTGTATTCTTGAGAAAGACAATGGAGTGGTTTCATATTGAATTCCAATTTTTCTTTCTCTTAAACTGGCTGCCAATCAAGGCTTGAGAGTCAAGTCTAATCTACTATTTAACCCACAGATGGCTTGTGGAATAATTGAAGTGATGTTGAGAACATCTAAATTTGGCTCATCTTTTGTTAATGACTTGTTGATTTAAAAAGTTGTTTTCGTGTTGAGATGATGATTATGTAGATGGCAACCTGATACTGGTTTACTTTGTATTAAATTTTCCTGGCCATTTAGAAACGGAAATGGTATAAATTCAGTGATGCCAGGTTATTTAAATGGTATTTTATTTCGAGTAATGTTTTTAGGAAGAATCATTAAGGATCAGATTTACTCTGCAGGCAGCCCAAAAAAAAAATGTTTTGCTTATAAATGCTCACCAATTTCTAAGACCTGCATATCAGCAAAAAGACCTTGTAAGTGATGAATTATTTTCCACCATCCAGTCTCCTTCCCATTGACAAGACGGTGCAAGCCTATTGCTACTCTATCACTATTTCCATAGCAAATATTCAGACGAGCTGCATTACTGAGTTACACTAATTCAAATCTTTACAGCTAGGATTCACCATGCCATGTAGACAAGATCGAATCATTCTTATCCTCTTTGCATTTCACTAAAAAGAAGAAAGTTTCACTCAGCTTCTTTCTGGGAATTACTACTTTAGGAAACGCTCACAAGATGCTTCTTTGATTACTACAATCTGAACTTCTTTAAGTTAAATGTCACTTATCGTGAGCTGTGGCAAGAACAATTAGTACTGGCAATGACTTATTGCTGTAAAGGAATTTACGCAAGTATATTGATAGGAACAAAATACATTTTGCCTCTCCTTTATAGTACAAACATACAATGAGAATTTGCATAATGGTTGGACCTGATCAGGATCCTTTGTGTTTCTGTTTTACTGTTTCCAAAAAGAAAATGAGAAGAGGATTGACATTATCTGGGGGGGAAAAAAAAAAAAAAAAATAATGCACCTCCTCCACTTGTCTCCAACTAGATGGTATACACACTACAGTGTCATGTAATTTTTGAATTCCATTTGTCATAAAGAAGTTCTACTGAAACAACTTCTTCCCAAAAGACTACAATGAAAACCTCTTCAAATGGAGGGTGAATTCTTATGTAACCTCCTCTTCTTCTCTTCACTTTCCTGTTCATACCATAAAATGCATTGTATAACCAAGTGGCTCTTGGTCTTTGGGAACATTTCTTTAAAAAAAAAGCAAAGGTTTAAGCGGAAATATTTATTTCAGAACAAAATTATATAATCAGAAATAGAAAAAGTTAAATAGAAAAATATCTTTTTATGGTGCTAATGAGGTGCTGTAAGTCTGGAAGACCATTCCATGAAGACAGACTTTATAATATTGAACAGTGCCATCACCACCTTTGAGGGTTAACATCAAATGGCTCTCCAAAGACTGTTCAGGCTGTAACAAAAAAAAAGAAAATAGAAATCAGGGGTGTGTCCAGTATTTGGAGAAGGGTTCCAAGTGGAAAAAAAAAAATAGCACAGTTGGTGATAAAGCTATTGGTGAGGAGTTCACCGGCCATGGCAAAAAGCTTTTCTTTTTTTTTTTTTTTTTTTTCCTCAAGGCAGATCCTATAAGGTAGCACTTTGAGCAAAGTGAGAGTATAGACTGAGGGGTAAGAAACTGAGACATATGGAGAGAGCCAGTCAAGTGCTCAGTCATAGGACAGATAAGACACTGCTTTTTAATATTAGAATTAACAAAAGAAAAAAAAAGGGGGGGGAATGGGAAATTTACTGTAGAAGTAAACAGCCTTTCAGCCAATCTCCACCCGCTTCCAGCCAATCTCCCACCCGCTTTCCAGCCAATCTCCACCGCGCTTTCCAGCCAATCTCCACCCCGCTTTCCAGCCAATCTCCACCAGCTTTCCAGCCAATCTCCACCCGCGCTTTCCAGCCAATCTCCACCCGCGCTTTCCAGCCAATCTCCACCCGCGCTTTCCAGCCAATCTCCACCCGCGCTTTCCAGCCAATCTCCACCCGCGCTTTCCAGCCAATCTCCACCAGCTTTCAGCCAATCTCCACCCTTTCAACCAATTTCCACCAACGCTTTCAGCCAATCTCCACCAGCGCTTTCCAGCCAATCTCCACCCGCTTTCCAGCCAATCTCCACCCGCGCTTTCAGCCAATCTCCAGCTTTCCAGCCAATCTCCACCAGCGCTTTCAGCCAATCTCCACCCGCGCTTTCCAGCCAATCTCCACCCGCTTTCAGCCAATCTCCGCGCTTTCAGCCAATCTCCACCAATCTCGCTTTTCAGCCAATCTCCACCGCGCTTTCCAGCCAATCTCCACCGGCGCTTTCCAGCCAATCTCCACCGCGCTTTCAGCCAATCTCCACCCGCTTTCCATAATCTCCACCGCTTTCCAGCCAATCTCCACCGCGCTTTCCAGCCAATCTCCACCCGCTTTCCAGCCAATCTCCACCGCTTTCCAGCCAATCTCAATCTCCACCGCTTTCAGCCAATCTCCGCGCGCTTTCCAGCCAATCTCCACCGCTTTCAGCCAATCTCACCCAGCTTTCCAGCCAATCTCCACCCGCGCTTTCCAGCCAATCTCCACCGCGCTTTCCAGCCAATCTCCACCCAATTTCCAGCCAATCTCCAATCCAATCTTTTCAGCCAATCTCCACCAGCGCTTTCCAGCCAATCTCCACCCGCGCTTTTTTCACCAGCCAATCTCCACCCCGCTTTCCAGCCAATCTCCACCAGCTTTTCAGCCAATCTCACCCGCGCTTTCAGCCAATCTCCACCCGCGCTTTCCAGCCAATCTCCACCCCGCTTTCAGCCAATCTCCACGCTTTCAGCCAATCTCCACCCGGCTTTCCAGCCAATCTCCACCCGCGCTTTCAGCCAATCTCCACCCGGCGCTTTCAGCCAATCTCCACCCGCTTTCAGCCAATCTCCACCCAGCGCTTTCAGCCAATCTCCACCCGGCTTTCCAGCCAATCTCCACCGCGCTTTCAATAATCTCCACCAGCGCTTTCCAGCCAATCTCCACCCAGCGCTTTCCAGCCAATCTCCCCCGCGCTTTCCAGCCAATCTCCACCAGCGCTTTCCAGCCAATCTCCACCGGCGCTTTCCAGCCAATCTCCACCAGCGCTTTCCAGCCAATCTCCACCCGCTTTCCAGCCAATCTCCACCAGCGCTTTCCAGCCAATCTCCACCGCTTTCCAGCCAATCTCCACCGCGCTTTCAGCCAATCTCCACCGCGCTTTCCAGCCAATCTCACCCCGCGCTTTCAGCCAATCTCACCGCGCTTTCCAGCCAATCTCCACCCGCGCTTTCCAGCCAATCTCTTTCGTAATCTCACCCGCTTTCCAGCCAATCTCACCAGCTTTCCAGCCAATCTCCACCCGCGCTTTCCAGCCAGCAATCTCCACCCGCTTTCAGCCAATCTCACCGCGCTTTCAGCCAATCTCCACCAGCGCTTTCCAGCCAATCTCCACCAGCGCTTTCAGCCAATCTCACCAGCGCTTTCCAATCTCCACCCGCGCTTTCAGCCAATCTCCACCCCGCGCTTTCCAGCCAATCTCCACCCGCTTTCAGCCAATCTTTCCAGCCAATCTCCCCCGGCTTTCCAGCCAATCTCCACCCGCGCTTTCCAGCCAATCTCCACCCGCTTTCAGCCAATCTCCACCGCGCTTTCAGCCAATCTCACCCTTTCAGCCAATCTCACCCGCGCTTTCCAGCCAATCTCCTCCTTTCAGCAATCCACCAGCTTTCAGCCAATCTCACCAGCGGCTTTCCAGCCAATCTCCACCGCGCTTTCAGCCAATCTCCACCAGCGCTTTCCAGCCAATCTCCACCAGCTTTCCAGCCAATCTCCACCAGCTTTCAGCCAATCTCACCGCGCTTTCAGCCAATCTCCACCGCGCTTTCAGCCAATCTCCACCCGCGCTTTCAGCCAATCTCCACCCGCGCTTTCCAGCCAATCTCCACCAGCTTTCCAGCCAATCTCCACCCGGCGCTTTTCCAGCCAATCTCCACCCGCTTTCCAGCCAATCTCCACCAGCTTTCCAGCCAATCTCCACCAGCTTTCCAGCCAATCTCCCAGCGCTTTCCAGCCAATCTCCACCCTTTCAGCCAATCTCCACCGCTTTCCAGCCAATCTCCACCCGCGCTTTCAGCCAATCTCCACCGGCGCAATTTCCAGCCAATCTCCACCCGCTTTCAGCCAATCTCCACCCGCGCTTTCCAGCCAATCTCCACCCGCGCTTTCCAGCCAATCTCACCCGCGCTTTCCAGCCAATCTCACCAGCGCTTTCCAGCCAATCTCCACCCCTTTCCAGCCAATCTCCACCGCGCTTTCCAGCCAATCTCCACCCGCGCTTTCCAGCCAATCTCCACCCGCTTTCCAGCCAATCTCCACCCTTTTCCAGCCAATCTCCACCAGCGCTTTCCAGCCAATCTCCACCCGGCGCTTTCAGCCAATCTCCACCAGCGCTTTCAGCCAATCTCCACCAGCTTTCAGCCAATCTCCACCAGCGCTTTCCAGCCAATCTCCACCGGCGCTTTCCAGCCAATCTTTCCAATCTCCACCCGCGCTTTCCAGCCAATCTCCACCGCGCTTTCAGCCAATCTCCACCCGCGCTTTCCAGCCAATCTCCACCGCGCTTTCAGCCAATCTCACCCGGCTTTCCAGCCAATCTCACCAGCTTTCCAGCCAATCTCCACCACCAGCTTTCCAGCCAATAATCCACCAGCGCTTTCCAGCCAATCTCCACCAGCGCTTTCCAGCCAATCTCCACCCGCGCTTTCCAGCCAATCTCCACCCCGCTTTCCAGCCAATCTCTGCTTTCAGCCAATCTCCCCGCGCTTTCAGCCAATCTCCACCAGCGCTTTCCAGCCAATCTCCACCCGCGCTTTCCAGCCAATCTCACCAGCGCTTTCAGCCAATCTCCACCCGCGCTTTCAGCCAATCACCAGCGCTTTCCAGCCAATCTCCACCCGCTTTCAGCCAATCTCCACGCTTTCCAGCCAATCTCCACCCGCTTTCAGCCAATCTCCACCCCTTTCCAGCCAATCTCCACCCGCTTTCCAGCCAATCTCCACCAGCGCTTTCCAGCCAATCTCCGGCTTTCCAGCCAATCTCCGCTTTCCAGCCAATCTCCACCCCGCTTTCAGCCAATCTCCACCCGCGCTTTCAGCCAATCTCCACCCAGCGCTTTCAGCCAATCTCACACCCGCTTTCCAGCCAATCTCACCGCGCTTCCAGCCAATCTCACCAGCTTTCCAGCCAATCTCCACCCAGCGCTTTCAGCCAATCTCCACCGCGCTTTCCAGCCAATCTCCACCAGCTTTCCAGCCAATCTCCACCCGCTTTCCAGCCAATCTCCACCGCGCTTTCCAGCCAATCTCCATCCCGCTTTTTCAGCCAATCTCCACCAGCGCTTTCCAGCCAATCTCACCCGCTTTCCAGCCAATCTCCACCCAGCGCTTCCAGCCAATCTCCACCGCGCTTTCCAATAATCTCACCGCGCTTTCCAGCCAATCTCCACCCGCGCTTTCCAGCCAATCTCACCAGCTTTCAGCCAATCTCCACCCGCGCTTTCCAGCCAATCTCCACCAGCGCTTTCAGCCAATCTCCTTTTCCTTTCCAGCCAATCTCCACCCGCGCTTTCCAGCCAATCTCCACCAGCGCTTTTCCACCCGCGCCAATCTCCACCCGCGCTTTCCAGCCAATCTCCACCCGCGCTTTCCAGCCAATCTCCACCCGCGCTTTCCAGCCAATCTCCACCCGCGCTTTCCAGCCAATCTCCACCCGCGCTTTCCAGCCAATCTCCACCCGCGCTTTCCAGCCAATCTCCACCCGCGCTTTCAGCCAATCTCCACCCGGCTTTCCAGCCAATCTCCGCAGCTTTCCAGCCAATCTCCACCCTTTTTCCAGCCAATCTCCACCCGCGCTTTTCCAGCCAATCTCCACCCGCGCTTTCCAGCCAATCTCACCTTTCAGCCAATCTCCACCAGCTTTCCAGCCAATCTCCACCCAGCTTTCCAGCCAATCTCAGCCCAGCCAATCTCCACCAGCGCTTTCCAGCCAATCTCACCAGCGCTTTCCAGCCAATCTCCACCCGCTTTCCAGCCAATCTCCACCAGCGCTTTCCAGCCAATCTCACCCGCTTTCAGCCAATCTCCACCCAGCGCTTTCAGCCAATCTCCACCAGCGCTTTCAGCCAATCTCCACCCGCGCTTTCAGCCAATCTCCACCCAGCAGCTTTCCAGCCAATCTCTCCACCCTTTCCAGCCAATCTCCACCCGGCTTTCCAGCCAATCTCCACCGCGCTTTCCAGCCAATCTCCACCCAGCGCTTTCAGCCAATCTCCACCCAGCGCTTTCCAGCCAATCTCCACCAGCGCTTTCAGCCAATCTCCACCCGCTTTCCAGCCAATCTCCACCGCGCTTTCAGCCAATCTCCACCGCGCTTTCCAGCCAATCTCCACCCGGCTTTCCAGCCAATCTCCACCCGCGCTTTCCAGCCAATCTCACCCGCGCTTTCCAGCCAATCTCCACCGCGCTTTCAGCCAATCTCCACCGGCAGCCAATCTCCACCCGACTTTCAGCCAATCTCACCAGCTTTCCAGCCAATCTCACCAGCTTTCCAGCCAATCTCACCAGCTTTCCAGCCAATCTCCTACCCGCGCTTTCAGCCAATCTCCACCCGCGCTTTCCAGCCAATCTCCACCCGCGCTTTCCAGCCAATCTCCACCCGCGCTTCCCTCTTGTGTTTCAGTGGCTTTACTGAATTTCTCTGGGTGAATATGATTACAAACAACAAAAAAATCCCAGTAATAGTCAACCAGAAAAGCCTTGCTTACTTTTAACTCATGACAAGGTATGTATAAGATTTTTGTGTCTCTGTTGCAGTAATTTTGTTTGTATAATTCATTAGTTGTAGAATATGCATAACAAACAGTTATGGGCCAAAAACAGAATTTACAAGTAATGTTTAAAATCAAAGTAAAACCTGAAATTAAAAATTCAATTCATCTTTTTTTCAGGCACTGAGAATCATCTTGTAAGGTAAGATTTTATTTCATTACCATATATACTCCCATATGTGACCACAGTAAATGGATATATAGTTTTGACCAATGATATTGCCAGGGCTAGCAGTACATACACTAATGTGATTCCCTTAAAATTGTCTTCAAAATCGCATGATATGTGTGTATATACATGCTATATAGGAATAAAGTTTCACTGCTGACACTTGAGTTTGAACATAGATTGCCAGTGAATCAAGTAGACCATGTGACCATAGAGGAATTGCATATGTAGGAAGTAGCTGATGCCTCATGATCACCATTCCTAGTCTATCCTCTATTACTATTCAGATCTGCATTTGTAGTCTATACTATTTCTCTACTCTATTCACTATACTATTCCCCTTTTTTGAAGCACTATATGGATTAGTATATGAGCAAGTACTATTATTACAAGTGCTATTTGAAGGTGTCTGACACCAGTATCGTTCAACAGCATACTATAGTTGTATCTGTGGTTACAAAGTCGCTACAACAAGGAGCATTTTGAAAGTGACGAGGTTTGTTCCACTCTTAGTAAAGTTGGCTAACATGTGACTTATGATCTGCCATTACCTTGGGTAAATAATGAAGCATTCCAATTTAAATGTAAGAAGATGCAAAAGAGAACATAATAAAGAAAGAAATGCTAGATAGAGGTGGTGATAATGTTATTGTACATGCAATATTTGCTTTAGTGTAGTGAAAAAACTTGCCAATTTGAAAGCTTCTCATTTGTATCCTCTTACTTTTTGACTAGTGTCATGGTTTCTTAGCTACATTTGAATTGCTGCAGTATCAAAGATCTAATGGAAGACCTATTTATGACTATATTTGCTACATTTTTAACTTCAAGACATCATAGAAAAGCCGGTTTTGAACTCTGTCAAAGCTGGAAAATAAGGCTGGTCCATTTTAGCCCAGATATGCCAGTAATATTCCATTTTTGGTCTGATCTGGCTTTTTATATAGAGAAAGAACATGGCAGAAAAAGATGGGTACTTTCTGGAGCAGTCCAAGGATCTAACCATTACATTCTGTATCCTTATTTGCCTGGAATCACATGAATCTGCAAGATATTGTTTCCAAGACAAAGCAGTCATAAAAAATGGTTATTTATTCTATCCAATAACAGTATGAAAGATGTAAGGAAAGATTTGAAAAGCAGGTAAGGATGGAGATGTATAAAAATTGTGACGCATTTTTGGAAGTAATTCTACTAAAGAGAATTTATTCACAGAATGACTGAAGAGTTAAAGAATTACCTTTTAATATGGACTAATGATGAAATACTTACTTTTGTAGTTGTGCTTAATTATTTATTGTAAAAATGGATCTTTCAACTTCATTTAAACCTTAAAGTGCATCATCAACTACAAAAAAGTTTAGTGTTTTATCCAAACAGGAACCAGATACCAACACACTACAACTGAACTTATTTGCCTTGTTTGTCTGTGTTCTGAAAAAGATTTTAATACTCAAGAATTATTGGCCATTCTACTTTTGAGAGGTTGTTTCTTTTTTTGCTTTTTCCAAAGGAATATGCATATCCTAAATAACTAACATTTCTTTTATCACATGTCTTGTTTAAAAAAAAAAAGGAAAAAAAGTAATCTCCTGTTTCCAATATCTTCAGACCATTTCTTTAGATTTGCTTTTCCTCTGTAAGTATGTTCTAGAGGCTAAAAATAATCATACATCAAGTCTGTTATTCTTTGCACAAAGCCTTCTTTTGGTGCCAGCCATGTTTATTGTTTGAATCAGTGGTAGACAAATAATAGAGAATTGGAGTTTGGTCAAAATGGTACATTGTTCTGGTGCCCAAATGGATTTTATATTTCATTGCATCAATACATTCTCATTTTGTACCTTTTCCTAAGTGTCGACCAGTGCGATTATCTTAGCCATTTTGATAGGAGGTCTACTTTATTCTCTAAGATGATGTTCCAAAGTTTTTTTTTTTTTTTTTTTTGTGTGTGGGTTGGAGGGTGGTGGTTGTTGGTAACCATAGTTAAGATTTCCTGAATTTGATGACATATACATTGTTGGAGCTTGTGGCAGTATTGTATTGAAGCCCTGGTTCTCATCTGATCACTGAAGTTAAGCAATGTGGAGGCTGGTTAGAACCCAGATGAGTGATCATTTGGTAATACCAGGTGTCGTAACTTTTATGTGCAGTTGGTGCAATGGATAACAGGTAGCAATTGAAGAGTAGAGTTAGAGTTGGGTTCCTTATAACCTTGGATACACATCTTGTACCTTCATCTATGGGTTAAATAGCAGTAAATCATTATTGTCTTAAGAAAGGTCTTAAAATATAAAAATATTTTCTGGTCTTAAATAAGCCATAAAAGGTTGATAATCCATAAAACACAACTGAATTTCTTGTTTGTTTTTTTTTGTTTTTCTTTTAATCTAAGAAGAGGGATATATTTAAAGTTTCCTTAATTTGATGCCATGTAACTTGTTTGTATAGGAAGGTGAATTTGACTGTGCTGCTAATCTAATGACTCAGCCATACAGGAGAAGAACTTCAGTATTGCAGTGAATGCTGACCCATTTTCTCAAAGATGAAGAGAAGACTCGAGTCAAAAGAGATATGGTCCTACAGTAGCATACTGGGAATGCCATGAGCTGAACAAGTTGGTATGAAGAAAGTTTTAAGGAAAATGGAAACAAAAAGGACAGAGACAATTGAAGTTCTGCAAACACATTAGAAAGAAAAATGTCTTCTCTATGGCTGCATTCTTATTGGGCCAAAGTTGAACTCCAAAATGTTTTGAAGAGAAGCAGAAGGATATATAACAAATACTGTGCTGATTAATCAAAAGCCAGATTAACAGTTTGTGAGAACGGCATGATTTTTATTTTTTTGTCTGGAAATGCTGCCTGACATATTTGTGTTTGGAATTATTATATACCTGACCATTTGAACAGCATCTTCATCCTTCTACAAACACTGCATCTTGTTGATCATGGTATAAGGTTCAATGTTGTGAATTTAATGTCAAAACAGTCTTGATGATTTAACCTTGCATTAGTAATCTCAGAATCCCAAAGATGCATAGTCCCTTGGCGCCTGCCTCCCACAAAAAGCTACAATTGCACTCAACTGCATGCTATAAACCCTCATTGAGTCAGGGGAGTATTGGGAGAGAAGAAAAGAAAGAAGTTGCCAATTAGGAATTATGAGTACTTAAAAAAATTTGGATGACTAACATTAGGTCAATATGGCATTCTTTAGAAATTTGGTGGCATATTTTGGGGTACTTTTATCTGTAATTACTGACAAGAATTTAGTAATTTATATTGTTGTGACATAGTCCATAATCCAAATGTAGTTTATTGTATTGCAGCAACCCAAAGACTGTGGAATAGTGGCACACAATGGAATACTTGGAGAAATGGTGAAGAAAATACACATTGTAGCTTTGATAGGGATTTAGCATAATTGCTAAGAAAAATGGCAATTGGTATCAACTGGTTTTCTAAAGTAATCCAAATTTGCCTGCAATTCTAGAAGATTAAATTCCTGCATTGGAGTTTATTTTTAGTAGCAAGATTCCAGCCAATAATCTCAGTGAAATGCCTTCAGTGACAAAATGTTTTTGGAATGTAAATCCTCCAAATAGCTGAGACATGTGAGAAAGAGGATATCATAGGAGATAAGTGGATATGGCAATGCAAGGGGAAGAAACAAATTTATGATGAATGTTGTCATGGATCAATGTGAACCCTTTTGATTTGGTGTCTCAGAATGGAAGACAAATCATACAGAAGAGACATCCAGTATTAACGATGTGCTGTTAGTATATACCGGATGTGAATTTGAGAAGGCGAATGAATTAGAGTTGGATTGAAAATGTAGTATTTGAAAAAGTTCTTGATCAGTGTCAGCCAAGAATGCATGCAAATTGGATTTGTGCAAATAAAGAATGGAAAGAAAAAAGAGCAAAAGGTATGTTTTAAACATTAAAGTTGCTAAGACAGGAAAGGAGTTCTATTAGCAACAAGTACAAGACAAGAAATGATAACAATATAGGTTAAAGGATGAGATGAAACTGGCAGCAGGAGGTGGGGGGTCATCTGCCCAGGCAACACTTGTATGATGTCAGCATTTTGGGTCTGTTGTATTGAAATAAAAGTGAATTTAATGTCAGGAGAGTAATCACAGTATAAGGAGGATTTCAAGTAAGTTATATATATATGTATGTATGTGTGTATAGATAGATGTGTATGTATAGATGGATAGATATGTATAGATATAGATAGATATAGATATGACTTAGCATCCTCCATCAGATATTTAAAGTTTCAAATTTGCTTGATTTTAGTATGCGCAACTTGCCAGGCACATCTTTTTGTATATGTGGCTGCAGGATTATTTTGAGGCTGCAAGAAGCTGTACCCTGTCAACAAACCTGGTGTGTGGACAAAGCTGCAACACTATACTAAGAAAATCATTATTTAAAAATAAAAAAAACTGATTTGATACAGATCCCGAAAGACTTTAAAAAAAAAATTTCCAACCTCTTTTGTGAACCTGAGAGGAATCACTTTTCTGTCAATACAGAGGGTCCTCGACTTATGACAGTTTAATTCATATGATATTTTATTACATGCCTGCAATTTTCCATGAATAAGCATGTAAATCACTTACCTATGCCAACAAAGTAATAATCTACGACATAATACATTTCTATGATGCAACATACTTAAAACTATAAAAATATGGACATAAATATAATACATATAATGTAATTCTTTTAAGCTGCTTGTATATTTATTGCCTGTGACGTCATTGGCTCTCACTCGATTAGATGACAAAATGTCTCTTTTGCAGTACTCAGAAGCAGCAGTATATTTGGTGGACAAAAAAACAAAGGTGAGTTTGTTTTTCTTTTTATTGGGTATTCAACAACTTTACAGTTTAACAAGAAAATGTTCTTATTTCTTACATGCGAAACTAACTATGTATACACATATGTACCCATTTTAGGGTACATAAAAATACAAGTAAGCCAGGGGCTTACTATAAGCAAATAGTTTACCATTCATCTAAACTAATACATTATTTGGACTATATTACAACATTTCAGCCATTGTTTGCTCCAGCCTTCTTCAGCTGGTTGGAAAGTCAAACTAAACCCTTTATTTCACTCACTGGTGTAGATTGTTCTAGTTCTACATGCTATGTCTAATACATGTCAGTTATCTCCTGTTAATTTCCCTCTGAAAGTTCTCCACTGCCTTAGCTGGGTATTGAACTCACACTCTTTGCATCTTGTCACTGGATCTAACAAACACCTTTATCCACTGTGCCATGTGTCCTCAAGGCTAAGGCAGTGGAGAACTTTTAGAGGGAGATTAACAGCTGATAACTGACATCCATTAAACATGGCACGTGGAACTAGAACTGTCTACCCCAGCAAGCAAAATAAAGGGTTCAGTTCAACATTGTAACCACCTGAAGAACGAACGGCCAAAATGTAATAAATATGGCGACAAAGATGAGGACAATAGTCCAAATAATGTAAATAATGTGCATAATACCTCATCTCAGAAATATACACTGATCTCAACTACTATCTATAAAATTTCCATTTATCTATCAACTATATCCTATCTTTTTGTTTAGTACAGCATCACTAACAAACTACAAATATAGAAAAGGCATTAAAATATAATTACTGCATCTTAAGTGATTTATTTTCTGCTACCCACAAAGATGTTACTCTGACTCACTTTCTGTACATCTGCATTAATATTGCTCTTGTAATATTAGCCAAAATATTTTGGCAAGCATGCAGTTTTGTGCCTGCAAAAAAAAAAAATGGAGTATCCAAGAGATGGTTTATTCCATGACACCAGTTTTAATTTGACTACCTTTGCTCTTAAAAAGTGATAAGAATTGTAATAAAGAACTAAACATATGAATGTCATTTCATACATTTTCTTTATTCTTGAGAATTGACAACAAAAATATTAAACACTTTTAGATTGCTTATTAGAATGGTTGGCAAAACATCAGCTACATTACCAAGTGATTCATACTTTATAAAATGGTATATAATAAGGGGAGGTATGGTGAAGTAATGGATAGTGGTTGAGATTGATGAATTGGAGAGCAAAGTTCAAATTCCAGTCAAATCCATTACATTCACTTGTGTGCTAGCTAATATGCTTGGGAAAGGTATGAATCCTCTTCTTCCCCCCCCCAGCTATGGTAAATACCAGGACAGACCAGGCTTGGATAGGAACTGGTCTACTGCAGAAAGAAGTGGCAACCTACTGCGGGAAAAAAATCTGCCGCATCAGTCAGGCAATGATGTATCTTTCATTACATAAGTGTTTATCACACATGGCACATAACTGACTGATATAATAAAGATTTCCTTATAGTTGGTTCATATATTTTATTAATTTATTCTTCTTCTACATGTGACATATCCCATCAGCATATAGGCAATCTTAGCTCTCCACAATTTACTCTTCTTTGTAGCCAAACTGTTCAGTCTTAGCAAGCCAAACATTTTGAAAATAACTTATCTGGAATGATGTTCTAAGACAATACTTAACTTGAAATGCTGAACCAGGACTTGTTCAGAGACTCAGGCATCTGAGATTTTTAACTTTTAATGCTACTTTGAATTTTAGTTTGAAATGTCCTATGTATTTTTTCTAAATTTTTCTGCAAATTTCTTCTTGGACTTTTTGTTAATACTTTTCTTTTTTTTTTTTTTTTTTTTTTTTTTGTCTTAACCTTTCCTTGATTTTTTTTTCTTTGGGTTTAATAATTTACTAAATGGTTATAAATTTATGAATAAAAAATTGTTTTCATATTTATTTCTTTATAAATTGTAAATGATAAATACTGCATTAATTTTAATACAACTAACTGTATTAGTTTTTAGAATGTTGCAAATATAAAAATTATTCATGCAAATAAACAATATTTTTGTTGTAAATTCTCAAGACCAAAAAAAAAATGTAGAAATTTACTTTCATCCTAAGTTTACGTTTTATTACAAAAACTAATCATCAACTTTCAAAACAGTAAACATTGCTGAGGAGTACTTAAAATAAAAGCAATGTCATGGGGGGAAAAAAAATGTCCTTTCTTTGTGAGCACAAAAGACCATGTTTAACAAAACTTTTTTTAAATGGATGCACATAAAGGAAAAGATACTTTAGATTGTCTGGCAACAATTCTGACAAGCCCTTTCCCACTAATGAAACATTGCAAGCCTCTCATGTAATTTCCATGGCAAATGTTCTGCACTTAGCGCCAAAGTTCAGGACTGGTGGAAGTAAGATCTACCATGCCATAGGGACTAATCATCCTCCTCTTCTTTGTATTCCATTAACAAGAAAGAAGTTCCAGTTGGATATCTTCTTTCGTAAACTGTTATTTTCTGGAACAAACTCCCAACAGGATGTTCTACAAGGGTTACAGCCATATCACGTTGAAACATTAGCTATCATATAATAACAGAAGTTAAGCAATGTTGAGCTGTAAGGTGCAGGAAGGCATGGTGGACTAATAGATAGCAGCTTGGATTGAGGAATTGGAGAGCCGAATTTGAATTTCAGTTGAATCCTTTACATTCACTTACATGCTAATACCCTTTGGGAAAGGTATGAATCCTCCTCTTCTTCCTCCAGCTATGGGTAAATAGCAGGACACATTGGGTTCTATAGCCTTGGATGGCAGAGAAAAAGGAAAAATGGGAAAACTACTGGGGGGAAATCTTCCTTGTCAGTCATGTATTGAAAGATATATGATTGTCTAAGCACATATCATGCATAGCACATAACTGACTGAGTGCTTTCAGCTTCCATGGGCAGGTGGTGTAATGGATAACGGGGCGGGGGTTAGCAATGCTAGCTGCATCACAAACCCAAAGAGAGACTGGATGTGAAAGACAAGAGTAAGGAAGCTAACATAGAATGAGAGAAAAAAAGATAGCTCATTCCATTTAAGGGTTGCTTCACATACTGCTACTGTTTCAAATCTATGGCCAAAGAGCCACTCAAGGAATTGTATGAGAGAAGTTTACAATGTTATGTAGGAAAGATAAGTTAACCATAAACTTGAAGAGGTTAACATTGTAGTGATTGGGATTGACTGATTTTCTTTTATTAGGTTATTTAAAGCCAGAAAATGTTTTTAAATTCTAACAATTTTTTGGAGATAATAATAATTTACTGATAGAAGTCCTACTAATTAACCCATAGCTGGGGAGAGAACAGGTGGATCAATTGCTAAAACTTTTATCACAAAAACCATTATTAACTAAAAAAAAAAATGTACAAAATATTTAGATTTTGACATTAAATAACCCATAGAGGTGTTGATATGCCACTAAACCAAAACAACCAACTAAAATCTTTTTTTCACTCTCTCTTATACTGACTATAAGCAACTCTCATTCTGTCTTTGCTGGTCTAGGCCTCTCTCTACTCTCCATCGATGTTAGATTGTTGTTTTTGTTTTTAAAAAACAAAACAAACAAAAAAAGTCAGAATGAATATTTACGTAAATACAATGGTACTGTTTGGTATTTGCCACTGGGGATTCATAGCAACGTCACAATTCTGATTCCAGTCATTAAAACTGTTTGTAAACTGAACGCCACTGCTCCTACACCCCATCCCAAACCCCTACTATCATCATGGGGGATTCTTCCTATGAGCAAATTTGTCCTCAGATACTGCTGCTGTTTCTATTGCAAATCATGGATGCAGAAATGAGTTGAGTCAGATATCAATATCTCATGCCTGTCTCCCTCTCTTTCTCTCCACCCACCTCCTGTCGTTGAACAGCTAATATTTCCCTCATTTCCTCCCTATTATCTGTAATTCTTGGAAATATGACACCCACTTCAGTTGTAACTTTTAATATGGCTACCCATTCCCATCACAACCATTGAATGCATTTTGATTGGTTCATACATAAATGGTCAGAAACATTAAAAAGAGTGGGTGAGTTTGGGTGCTCAGAGGTTACAGATAGTCTCCAGGTCAATGAAGCAGGATGTTAATCTCTGAACTGCTAAAACAGTTTAGCTTTATGTATGTACACATCCAGTCTTGGTTGTCCAATCGACCTTAAAGTCACATGCCGCTCATAAAAGTGTCAGTTGGCATTTTATATCTGCTAGACTTGGGTAACCCATTGGCACCAACAATGAAAATGCTATTTCTCATCATGGAAAATAAACATTGAAGTTATCAGGTTCCAAACTTTATACAGTTGAGAGTTTAAATTTATTTTTAGACAAACGATTTACACTATTATTTTATTGCGGCTATTTCTATTCCATCCTGTTCTTGTTGCTTTTATCGCATCACTCTGGATTAATAAACTTGTAATTATTTGAATTTTGTTTTCTTTTAATCAATTCACCACCAACAAGGTGATAATGCCACTAAGATGCAAGGGGGCTACTGTGAGTGGAACAGAATGAGAAGACATTAGATGAAACCAGAAACCCAATCCTGACCAGGAAACGAGTGATAAACTGCTACTCCTTTTCAAAATCCCAGGGAGGATTGTGAATAGGATGATAGGCAAACAATCAGATTACAAGACACATCCTTGCCTTTTTTTTTTTTTTTTTTTTTTTTTTTTTAATCAATGCACCAATAAGATGGTAAGGGGTTAATAGAAGTGAAAGAAAATGAAAAGACTTTAGAAGGAACTGAAAACCCAATCCTGAGAAGGAAACAAGGGATAAACCTCCACTCCTATTGACGGAAACTAAAATATAGTAAATAAAATTTCAGACTTTAAACAGATGCATTAGAAGTATAGAGTTTAAGTAGATTTTAGAAGAAGCCAGAAACCCAAATCCTAAACAGGAAGCAAGGGGTAAACCTCTACTCCTGTTCAAAAGATCAGTGTAAAACCAGATGATAGACAAACCAATATAAAATAGTAAATATAATTTCAGAGTTTACGTGGATTTCACACTATTTCAAATAAATGGTTAAGAAAGAAAACCCCCATAAATAATGGAAAGACCAATAAGTTACTCTGTTTTTCTGAAAAAATTATAAATTTTAACCAAAAGCAGTACTACTAGCAACTTGGTCAATAAACACCAAATGTTTCCTTGTAGGGAAATGGCTAATATTTTCCATCATCTGTTATCACATTTCTCAGATAGCTCAATGACTGCTTCCCCTGCTAAGTACAGTAATTTAACTAAGTATAAATTCCATATGAGTCTCTTTCTATTAATTAACTTGTAAAAGGCATGAATCCACTTCTCCCTGCATTTTACATTTTTTTTTTATTTTATTTTAATCAGTGTATCACCTCATGCAAGGCAGTAAAGCAACTAAGACACAAAGGGTTACAGGTGAGTGGAAAGAATAATCAGAACAGTAGATAGTGATTGGCATTGTATTTAAATTTTTGCAGATTAAAGTTGGCTGCAAAGTATGGAACCTGAAGGGAGTTTCACAAGGGAGAAAAGAAACTGTTAGCATAGAATTTATGGTTCCATCTTGCCAGCTTAATGGTAAATTGGTGAGATCTCAATGTCAGTCTAGTAGTGCACTTAAATTCAAAAAGTCTAGGCACAATAGGGAAGAGCTCATCTGAACAATTACCATGAAAGTATTTATAGAAAAGGTACAGAAAGGCAACCATACACTCTAACTATTCTGGGTAATAAAAGGTTTGTCATTATGAGGAAAGAAACTGTGAGGCATAGAATTAGAATTTGCAGTTACTTCTTGCCAACTTAACTGTAAACTGATGAGATGTCAATGTCAGTCTCTCTCGTACTGCACTTAAATTCAAAAAGTCTAGGTACTATAGTGAAAACAATTACCATGAAATTATTTATAGAAAAAAACAGAGAGGCAACCTTACAGCAGTGGGAAAGAGACTGAAGAGATGTTGCCAGATCAGGGCCAATAATATTGCAAATTCTTTTGGCTCCTATCAAGGAGCTCAAGGTGCACCAGGCCATATGTAACAGCAATATTCTAAGCACGCAAATATATAGAGTAGCGTTTCTCAACCTTTTTACCCTTGTGAAACCCTTAAAATAAATGACATGTCTCAAGAAACCCCTGCACAAAAACAAAATTATATACCGTATCTTTCTCATTTTATTTTCATCATAGTTCACGTGGTAAATATCATAGCATATATTTTTGAATAACTAGTTTAAGGAAAATTTTTTGGTCCTTTGGCTAAATAAAATTCATACTGTTCATTTATAATACTTCATTAGTGAGTTTTCATTCACCACCCAAAAAAATCCTAAACTCAAATGTAAAAAATAAACATCAGTAACCAATATCGTATACATATAATATAAACAGAACAAAAACAGATAATTGCTGCATCAGTTATTTTTTTTTTTTACTGGCATTGTTGAAAAGACAAAGTAAATCAAGGCAAAATGTCCTGTGAACCAATAAATGGGCTAAGAAAATGTTATTTTCAGAGCCATTTGATAAAGTGAAACATGTTTCTCTAAATATATTCCCAATGATTGTTATATTTTTTTAATAACATAATACGTTAGATAGGATTATGTCTATATTACAATAACCAAGAATATATTGGTTGTGTCTGGTAATATTACATATATGAAATTAAATAAAAAGTCAAAAGTGCATTAGCTTATCTCACCTGTTCTCGCGGAACCCTTGGGGAACTTTTGTGCAACCTTAGGGTTCCAAGGAACCCTGGTTGAGAAACACTGATATAGAGTGTAAATTAATTCTCTTATTAGTTGATAATTGGCAACTTAAATAAAGATCTTAACCCTTTGAAACCAAGTGGCCAGAATACTGGCCAATGTTTGAAAATGCATATTTCCATGAACTTTGTCACAGGGTGGGAGATGTATATTCATCAGGGAGTCAATATTCAAAGGCTTAAAAAAAATGGAAATCTTCAAAATATTAAATTCCTTTTTATGTCTATGATAACTGATGATTATTAAGCCAAGAGACATTTGTAATCTCTGGGGCACAAAATGAGGAAAGAAAGCATGGAGAATTCAGCACTCAAAGTACATACTGAGAGCAAGAGAAAATTATTAAATAACCTACTTAATGAACTTGTGGGAATGGATATAAGAACAGAATTTTAAAGGATGAAAAGTTACAAAGATCAACAAAAGACGGGAAGTTGGGGAGAGCCATAGGTTATGAATGGACATGGCATATAAGAAGATCATAACCAAGTATGAAATCCAATTAATCAACAGCTAGAAAAATAGCTGACAACTGATTAATCAACAAATACTTATATGTCCAATTACTGATTAACAATTGATTATTCTCTACAATCCTACCAGTAATAAAACCAAGTTTGATTGCAGCAACATTTTTTTTTTTTTTTTTAGTATAATCTGACAATATAGTATCAATGTTTGTCATGGCGTGTTGTTGTCATAGTAGACAAACACAACTTGCAGAAGTAGACATGAGTAGCCTAGTGGATTAAAATGTTGATTTTGGAATTTGATGACACTGAGTTCAATCTCCAGACTGGCTAATACAGATTTAGACTAAGTGGAAAACGAGTGAAAAAAGTGAGCGGTACAAAAGAAAAACAAGATGAGATATCCCTAGACATGGAGAGTGAATGGTAACAATCTATTCCACATAGAATAAATAATAGTTTCGGATCGACATAAACCTGAAGAAGGCCGGGTGGCAAAATGGTTGAAATGTTATGACAAAAATAACAAAGATGAGGACATTAGTTCAAATATAAATAATAATATCCCTTTAAAAAAAAAAAAAAAAAAAAAATATAATTCCATTTCTGTATATTTTATCTGTGTAAAGTAAGATGCAAAAGTTATATCTGCATGCAAAAACAGTCTATCCTACAGCTGTCATTACACACTAAAAGTCTATTCTATGGCCGTCTACACACACTAAAATGATGTATTCTATAGCTCTTATCACAGATAATTGGTCTATTCTATAGCTATCATCACACACTAAAATGGTCTGCTCTATGTAGGAATAGTCTATTCTCTTGATCAATGGAGAAAACTTTCTCATGCAACAGAGGGAATAAGTAATCAGGAACATGCAGTTTTGCTTACTTCTGAACAAGAACAAGATGTGATTGATGCAAAGAAAAAGGAATTGGAAAATATGAAAGTTCATGAAGTATATGAATGTGTGCCTGACATGGGGTAAAAATGTATATCAACAACATGAACAGAAAAATTTATGAATGACTAAAAGATAATGAAGGCTCCTCTTGTTGCATGTGGTTATAAAGAAGATTCTCATAACTTAAAAACAGATTCTCCAACATGCAGCCGTGAGGCCATGCGTCTTGTATTGTTAACGGCCTCGATTATAATGTGGCAGGTGGAGACTCTTGATTTTACCTCAGCATTTCTGCAAGGTAATATGTTGGAAAGAGAATTATTCCTTAGACCACCATCTGATGTGTGTCCAGAATCACAAGTGTGGAAGCTGAAAAAGGTGCATTTATGGTTTAAATGATGCACCTCGTTCATGGTACAAGCAAATTCATCATGAGTTAACTCGTTTGAAGGGAATGGTGAGTGCATACGACAATGCACTGTTTCTTTGATAGGCATTCTGGCAATACATGTAGATGATTTCATATTCTGTGGAAATGATCTATTTCAGAAAAATGTGATCGGAGAATTGAAAAAGATATTTAAAATTGGAAAGCATGAAAGTGGAACATTTACATTTTTGGGATTGAATGTTAAGCAAACAAAAAATGGGATTATAATAGATCAAAATCTATATGCTTCAGCTATATCCCCAATAGACATAAAGAAAGGAAGATCATTAAGAAAA